GCAATGCATTTGTAATGTTAATATGGTTATGAACTAGGTGCTGATGTAAATGGAGTAGCTCTCTTGAATAAATGTTTTTAATAAATTAGTTTTTTCATTGACAAAGAAAAATCTTAAACTTTTCAGCTACTAGAATCCTCAGTGCATGAAATATCTCTTATATATGGTGCAAAAGATGGGAGTTTAGGTCCAGATCAAATAACTTAATTGGTGATGACTGTTATGGAAATGCTTATAACTAATTACTGTAATATGACAAGAATCTGACAATACAATAGACAGCTAAGAGACTTTGATACTCATCATTGTTACTAGTTTCTCAAATAATGGCAGTAGTAGAAAATGTCTATACCGATTTAGTCTGACTTGGGGACTACATCCCACTTTTTCATGTAGATTTGGTCAGAATTACCCACTCATTTGCAATCTCCACATTCAATTAGGGAATTAAGACCTGGGTTCTCTTTCCAGACTTGCCATTGTCTAACTGATATTGTACCTGGGAAGAGACAGTTTCAAAGACAGCTGAGGCCTGGCTCATAAATAACTTCAACAATCAGAATTAGTATCTTATACATGGTTTGATTGTTTGGTAGCGAGCAAGGTGAATGAAACATGGAAATAATGAATTTTTTGTCTCCCTGTTTTGGCTAGTGGGTAGGGTATTGCATGTTATACCATATAGAATTTCTTTACTACATTGCAATTATTTCTCAATACATTGCAATAATATACTATTATGACCACTGCTGATGTTTCATTCATTCTGACTCCCATTTTACAGTTGTGTAAAATGGGGATTGTAATGCTTTACTTACCTCCTGTAAAATACTTCAGAATCTACAGATGAAAAGTGCTGCACAATTATGTAGTAGTAGTACTATTACTGAGGGGGGATATGACAGAGGTATATAAAATCATGAGTGGTGTGAGGAGGGCCGATAAAGAAAAGTTATTTATTAGTTCCCTAAATAGAAGAACTAGAGCACACCAAATGAAATTAATGGGTAGCAGGTTTAAAACGAATAAAAGAAAGTTCTTCTTCACACATCGTGTAGTCAACCTGTGGAACTCCTTGCCAGAGGAGGCTGTGAAGGCTAGGACTATAATAGAGTTTAAAGAGAAGCTAAATAATTTCATGGAGGTTAGGTCCATAAAAGGCTATTAGCCAGGGGATAAAATGGTGTCCTTGGCCTCTGTTTTTCAGAGGCTGGAGAGAGATGGCAGGAGACAAATCGCTCGATCATTGTCTTCGGTCCACCCTCTCTGGGGCACTTGGTGCTGGCCACTGTCGGTAGACAGGATACTGGGCTAGAAGGACCTTTGGTCTGACCCAGTACAGCCGTTCTTATGTTCTTTATGTTCTGCTACTACTACTATAAAATATTATTGAAATATGTGGGCTGTTGCATTAAGATATTCCACTATTGTCATGCTCTGGGGAATGAAACCACAGAGAAACTCTGTCTGGTGCAACACAGAGCTGTATGCCTGTTGACCATCACTTCACTATTTACCCATCAAATGCCAAATTGAGTTTCAAATCCTGGTGTTGATATTCAGAGATATCAGCGAGCGGTTCTAGTGCTGTCTCACTCTCCTTTTCCTTCAGTAAAAGCTGCAATTCTGGGGAGTGAAGGAAAGTTATCACAGGAAGTCTTCTGGGAAGCTAACCGAGAACTGTGAACTTCCTTAAACTATGAATGATGGTTTACAACATTCATGAAAAAATGTGTGATGCATGTTTGTCATAGCTTTCCCCCATTACATTAATGTAAATAGTTATTTAGCAAACAAGAACTCCAACCCCACTCTTGTTATGGTTTTGATGTGTATGTCTCGCTCTAGTTCCCCCCGTTTGGATTTATGTATTTGGACAGATACTATAATGGAGAGAACTTGGTAGTTTCTTATACTTTACTATAATTTATATAGCAAAAAAAAGGTGTCTGTTACTACAATTAGGGTACATCTAGATTACATGCCTCTGCCGACAGAGGCTTGTAAAATAGCCTACTACACATAGTCAGTGAAGCGGGGATTTAAATATCCCCGGCATCATTAAAATAAAAATGGCCACTGCGCTGTACCGGCTCAGCTGATCATCGGCACAGCGCGCGAGTCAAGACGCGGATCGGTCGACAAGGGAAGCCCTTGTCGACCGCTCCTGTAAACCTCGTTTCACGAGGCATAAGGGAGCGGTCGACAAAGGCTTCCCTTGTTGACCGCTCGCGTGCTGTGCTGATGGTCAGCTGAGCCGGTACAGCGCAGCAGCCATTTTCATTTTAATGAAGCTGGGGATATTTAAATCCCCGCTTCATTGACTATGTCGGGTAGGCTATTCTACATGCCTCTGTCGGCAGAGGCATGTAATCTAGACACACCCTTAGTCTTGTCTGATACATTCAGGATAAATACAAATCAGATTTTATCTGGTAAGAGTATACGTATGGTCACGTAAAGAAAGTTGTTTTTCTCTGAAAAAGGGAAACAGGTTTGCTGCTTAATTATTTGTGATATACTGTGTATCGCTGGAATATGTATCGGTAAACATAAACTGACACATTTCTAACAACCAAACTATAAATGAGTGGAAGACCTAAAAACGTCAGTCTCTTCCTTTAAAGCACTTCAGTTTTAACTCCTCTTATTCCCTCCTTTATTTTGTTTCTCATTCCTTTATCTTGTATACTTTTTTATTCCCTTAGGCAAATGAGTTGGGTTTTTTAGTTCATGTCTCTTTGCTTCAATATTTTACAAATCATCAAGGCATACCTATATACGTGGGTATTTGTGTGCACAGTAATAAACCTCCCTCCCCCCCCCCCCCCCAACCACCCCCCCCCGCAGTCACTTGGATCCTTAACTGTAGTAACATTTTTTTTTTTTAATTTAAAGGAAAATGTACATGTTTTATTTAAATGGTGGGTCTCAGAGCAGGAAGGTGGGGGTGCTGGAGGCAGGGCAAGAGGTTAGCTGTGTGGGAGGTTCAGAGCAGGAAATGGAGGATACAAGACCCAAGGCTGGAGGTGGAAGGTATGTGAGTGGGGGGGCTTCATAGGTCGGCCCTGCCGTCCAGCATGTCTGGAGGCGGGGGCAGGCCACCTGTGGCACTCCTGAGCCCTCCAGCTGGTGCATAAGTGGGGACACAGCCTTGGGGGTTGGCCCTGGTCTTCAGCTGCCCCCTGCCCCCTGCTTGTCTCGGCAGGGCAGGGTGCTGCAGGCCAGCCCCAGTCTCCAGCCAACCCCTGCTTCTTGATTGTCTGAGGCATGACGAGGGCTTCACAGTCTGGCTCTGGCCTCCAGCTAATCCTTGCCTCCTGTTTATCTGGCGAAGGGGTAGGTCTCCATAGCCTGGTCCTGCCCACTTGCTCCCCCTTTTTGCCCTCCATCTGGTCAGGAAGTAGGGGGGTGGGGCCCAGGCCCAGCCTCCAGCTATCTCCTCTGATGCTTCCTGGCCTCTCTTCTGGGCTGTGTCTCTTCAGGGGGAGCAGGCTATGGTTCCCAGCTCCAGTGTCTCACAGGGTACCCCGTATGCATAGCCTAGCTGTGGGGGTGGTGATTGGGGAGATTCCTGGAACAACCCCCCCCCC